TGTAGATTTCTTTTTCAAGTGCCAAAAGCAAGCACTAAAAAAAATCACGAGGTTACCAAATTAGGTTCCGAATTATCTGAGCCATAAGCTAAAAAAATGCGTCTGAGAAATCCTTTAGAAGCGTTTCCATGGAAACCGCTAGAGACGAAATGATATCTATTTTAGGATAACCAATGATTATATAATTCATCCCCGTAGAAGTGTTGAACTGGCCCTTGTCAATCTTTTTTGTTGTACTCTTTCAAAGTTACAAACCATCAAAAAGATGAAAACTGGTACGCGAAACAGAAATCTGTTTTAGACGATTACGCTAAACATTTACTCTTCGCTGTCTTATTCTTATTACTTACACAAGGTTTTCGACATAGCTCATCACCTTTTAGGGAGCACAACACTTGTTACAAATGAACCTTTACTAGTAATGGTCTATCTGACCGTTGAATTCTCATTGGCAGAGCATTAAAACGCAAATTGTTTCTCCACCCTGAAAACGGAGTTTGATTGAAAGTAACATCTAAAACTAACCTCGCGTGGCAATTTTTGCCTCAGACAAACTTGTGCTTGGGTAAAAATATGCCAGTTTCCTAGAAACAGAGAGTGTTGCCTTGAGCTTAAAGAACAGTTATCCGCTGCCCTTTTATTCGAGAATAAGAGGATTTCCATGGCAAACAGATCCTTAGGTAGTGGTGCAAATCTAAATGATGCTTTGCTGGTTTGTTATTTTATTTATTGAAAGATGAGAAAAAAACTCGTCGAAGATAAATGGAGGAAGGGACAAGATGCTATTTATAGTGAGAACATTCCGTTTTAGATCTGGAGACACTTGGAATATAAGTTGGTCGGAGTGAGAATGGTGAACGTCGAATAAATAACTGTTAGACCATGACAGGGAGGGTCAGTCTAGCCAGCAGTCGCCGATCTGATCTGCCAAATTTACAGGACTAAATTATTCGCAGCACATTTAACAATAAACTTTATATCTACTTAACCCGGTAACTTTTGTTTTTCTGAGCAAACTCGACTCAGATCAGACCATGAGGAGCTTAGAATATATGTGCATTCGCCTAATGTTGAGATAATGAAGCAGTGGTGGATTTAGGGGAGGGGTCGGGGGACCACCCCTTTCCCCCTTATTTTGGGTAAAAAAATATCGCGGAAGAAAGAAAAGGCTGAGGGTGTACACACAAACCCCCCCCTTCTAAGCTCCAACTCTGGATCCGCCACTGTACAGTATGCACACCCTGCGTCCGTCGTGTTAGATCTACCATCAACCCGAGCCCTCAGACGTTTGTTTGAACAAACTTTGATCTGCGAACTATCGCTGCTCTACTCGATCGAAGCGGCTTAACCTCGGCTCGGTCATTTTTCCCGATCTGGTTTCTTTCAGGACTAATCCAAATTTCATTTCAAACAACTCTTTTTTTAGTACAATACAGCCCTAGTTGGGGTAGGTGTTATTTAGACAGTTATCAAGGTATTCCATTGCTGTCTCCCCTACCCCTGAGTCCGGCTACCCCTGGTATGGATTTTATACCGCGCGTAAACATTTTTATATAAAATAATTATGTTGGTACGAAATTAAAGATGAACTTTAATAAACATGGGAACTGATCAAGATAGTAAACAAGGTCACTAGTACTCTTACTGTAGCTCGTAAAAGGAAACGCAATTTTCATGGAGTTAAACAAAAGTTTGATAACTTCAAAGATTGGTAAAGGTCTTGTAATTTATTGGAATAAACTCTGGATAATTTTTTAATTATCGTGTTATGTATCGAATATATCACAGTGATCTAAGTGATTACTTTGTACTTATTGGCTGAGTGGGATTGCGCACGCGGGGCCGCACGAGTCACATGATATTGATTATTAATGTTCTTAATGAGCCTTAACTGACTAATGATTCACTTGCACCACCCCGTATTAGTTGACGATGAGCATACGTAATTGAACAAGTATCAAGACAAAAACAGGGTTTTACGGTAGCGTTAACAGCTTTCAAACAACCAAATACACTAAGCTCAAATACAAGTAATAATAATAGTAATAAATAATCGACTTTATTTAAAGAGGGTATACACATAACAGCTTGCGCTGATAAACCAGTGGCCCTCAAAACTGAAGTTAGTAAGTAATACATTCTAAGCCATAGGGATTAAAAATAGAAATGACTAGTCGAACAATGTAACTATTTAAAGATTATAAATACAATAAAACTAGATTATAATACAGCTTCAAAAGAATCAATGTCTCTATAAGAATTTATAAAATAATTCATCAAAGTATTCCTAAGAGAGGAGATGCTACGTTGTTTCTTATGCTTATTTGGAAGACTATTTCATAACTTAATACTACTAACTTGGAAAGACCTTCCTGCCTCAGTAGTATTTCGATACTTGGGACAGATTAGGTTATACTGGCCATGCCTGGTCTCTCTACCATGCAGGGAGTGATTTGTAGTTAAAGTACTTTCAATATACGTAGGGGATTCCCCATGCAGTGCCTTATAGATTAACACGCACTTTCTTATCTTGACTTCATCA